ATATTGTAAAATGGTGGTAAAACATACTGTACTCCAGGAGGACTGAACATGTACACATAATACTTGATCTTTGGTTCGGTCCCTGAGGTCTTCAAAGTGAACTCACAATTATTATCCAAAGAGAATGTGATCATCTGACTACCAGGATCAACTGGTAATACCTGTTTGCCCAGGAATACTAGTAATACCCACTCGTATTATAATACTAGTAAACCTGTTTGACAGGTTACACTCACTGGTTTATAGTGGTACTGTCATGCAGTAAAAAATTAAATTATAATTATAATACAAAAGTCATGCAATTATTATACAAAAATAATAAATAATTATAAACAAATTTAAAAAGATCATACATGTATTATTGTTTTCTTTCATGATGAACCAACTAATTTAGTCCATAGCGCCATTAAAGGATTACTTACGATTTCTAAATTGTGAATTAAAAATAATAATACCCACCAATATCCACTTACCAGGAACAAAATGAGACAATAAATACATCACTAATGCAAATAACACGACTTTTAAAAGAAACAACAAATTTCCTATAAAAATTTTTAAAATATAAAAAATATATATGCCCCATAAGTTCGTCTGCTGTATTCCCTCACTAACTTCTACTTACCTATTGTTCCTTTATGATAATCTGGGTAATACTTTGCTATAAAAAGCATAAAAATTATAATAAATAAAACTACAAATACAATGATGATATCCTTATAGTGTTCCCAGTAACTAACTATTTAGTAAAAAATAGCATCAGTGAATAAAATTGATTGCGTTAATGAAACTAATTACTTGATTGTGTTGTCACTTTGATCCTTTTTGGCCTCAGAGCACCTTTCAAGGAAAAATACAAATTTTCTGTAGCTGGAGGTAGATGCCAGCCTCCTTTCCACTGCAGTGAAAACTGCATATTACTTGTAACATTTTCACTTAACAAATCATCCATTGTATACTATTAATTTCATATAAATACTTGAACTATAATCATTTTGGTTTGACTTACAACCAAATCAAGTTTCTGTGCAGCTTCCCAATCATTCGAAGGGTTGGAATCTATATCAAGTTCTATTTCTTCACTATTTTTGTCAAAGATTATACCATGATTCTTAATTTCCACTATCCAATTCTACATGAAAAGAAATAATTAACAGTATAGTCTAGCTAATAATTAAACAGACTTCGATGTCAAAATTATGTCTTGACGAGCATTTATGCATCACATAGTTGTAGTCCCATTGGTAATTAGTAGAAGATCTCTGAAAATACAGTGTCCCACAAAATGTAGTTTCAGTACTATTTAATGTATAACCACTGAAGTGGTCAACTGAAAAGTAGACATAATCTCTACTGACAGTGACATTAGAAACCTCCTCAAAAATGTAAAACGCATCCCTTTGACTGTCTCCAGCTGAATAAACTTTAAGAACTGCCTTTTCACTAGTATAATGACGTATTCCCAACTGTAAAGGGTTAAGGAGCTTCTTACTGCTGGACAACCAATACACAGGACTGGCAGGTACCATAGTGTGATTATCTGGATCAGGATAAAGGTAAGGGCCAGCTACGCTCAAACGAACATTAATTACAAAAAATAAACCAGCTGGAAGAGCATCAGGAGGAGAAACAATGACGAGACCAAATTCTTCTAAATACAATGTACTTGATATACCACCAGGTACAACAACATTGGTACTTCTGCTAACTTTAATGCCAGGAAGAGGAGCTATTGTAATTATAATTATTATAATTATACAGTGTATAATGCATGCACAATCTTACCAATAAAACTTCCTTGTCCACAACTGGAGGTATAAATAATAAAAAAGAAGAAAACAGTGTATATCAGAATAAGCATGTGTCCTGAAAGAAATAGCATAAATTTAGCAAGATATCACACTACTTTATAATACTTTGTCCATCATAAGACCCTAGCAATGAGTCCTTTTTAAGCACATGAGGAGAAAACTGCTTCTGCTGTGGTTGGAGTGGGTCTAAATTTTTAATTCTCTGTTGAACTATTCTCAAAAAATAAAATAATAAAATAATAATATTGTTATATTCATTTACCTCCTCCTCCTCCTCCTCCTTCATCTTCATCTTTCTTTGATAGTTTCTCTTCTTCTTCTTCTTCTGCAATGTAACTGTCTTCCTGTACTGGTAATGGAGTCACTGGGCTCCTCCCTCCAGTCTCTTAATAAAAACATCATAATAATAATGGCTAAACTATGAGCAGCTGCTTTCATTCTTTTAAGATTTCTTTTTCAAGGTTAGCTTTTGCTTTGCCCAGTTGATCAGGAAGATATCAAAAGTTGTATCAATGCATTCCAAGTGAAATTTTTATTGGCTTTAAACCACTTCTGAAATACCATAATAAGATTATATGGCAACAAAAATGATGCAATCCATATCTGTTTTATGCTTCTGTTTACACGGAAATGAATGAAAATGCAAAAATGGGGTTCAAAATCTACAGCAAATTTCACTTCCGTTTGAGACATGAGTTATAATAATAATAATAACAACTTACTACTAAGCCAGGACTTCCACTTTATCTTCTCATCACATTTGTAGATTTCTTCTGTTTCAGTGATCTAAAGATCCATCGTTCCTCATTAACTATTACCGTATGCTTCTCCCCCTTAGCCACACCTCCTCCAGCAGGACCACACTCACATGAACAATAAAACCGGATCTCAGGATTCCTATGACTCTCACTGAGATTGTGTTTTTCAGCTGCAGAAGTGATTGCTTCTCTTACATCTTTCTTTACACTGCATTCAATGCTTTCTTCCTCACAATGGACTTCAATACAATTGATCTGTTCAACTAGAACAACACGATACCACAACTCCTCATGAATTATTTTGATATAATTTGAGAAATTGTCAATTTTTGTCGAAGCGATTTCGTAGCAAGGCCTGGAAAGAAGATGAGTAACAACAGAGCAGAAAAGGCCCATCGGGGTAGCCTTCTTGAAGTAAAACAGCAATGGCTCACGATCATTAAAAGGATTGATACCTGTAACATCTCTCATTGGAAGGAGAGCTGGTATGAAATATTTATCATCTATTGGTGTAGCTATTGACAGCTCCAGGAAAAGATTCAGCAATTTCGTTGCAATATCATCGACTTTTAGCTTTTCTGTGATGGGGTCAAGCTGTTCTTTACAAATCTCTTTAAACTTGGGCTCCGACAGGATCCCCTTTATAACGTCATCATCTCCAGCGTAGACTC